GCAGCAGCAGCAGATCAGCCCTAGTAACCAATACCGTATAGGCACACACCGGGAAACTCAGCCCAAGTCTGTGCTCGTCGCAGGAACCCAATTCCCAAGCTGTTGGATAAGCCCAGCCAGCGGCGGTCACCTCAGTGGATACTAATTAATGTGTTGCGGCACCGGGAGAGCTATCCGTGGTGCCCATGTGAAAGAGAGGTTGGATGGAAAGTGATTTTAGTGTTGAGAGGCTCAAACACTGGTTATTGTTATCTGAGACGGTCAAAGCAAGGGATTTGAGGCCAAGTTGTTAATGGAACTGCAACACAGCAGATGTTGAGGAGGGGAGTGTTGAGAGACTGATAAGGTTTTCTTTCAGTTGTGATTGTGATTGCGATGAGAGGGAATGAGATGGGAATGAAGGGGTGTGGCTGGCTAAACCCTTCCTATTGATCCCTATCGCTACCATGTGGATGGATTGCGAGATAGCCGGGCTTCTCGAAGGTGAAATTCTAGGGGACCTTGATGTCAGTCAGCCTCAAAATAGATTATTGCCAGCTGTTTACTCTGATCAGACTTGTGGAACGACATTCATTCATTCATTCATTGCATTAATTCAGTCAGCTTGAACCACTCAAGGTCTCAGTCTGATCAACTGCGAATATTATCGCTTCCTCTGCTTATCAGATCTGCATTGCCCAGTATTATCTGCATATGTTTCCTACCACTTCACCAAGTCACACTTACACTCGCAGTTTGCAATTGAAGTTGCAATGTGCCTAAAAGAGTACCATAGTTGGTCCCGCTGTAAAAGGACGCTCCGCAGATATGCGTGAAGCGTCAGATCCCCATGCATGTCCTTATCATCATGGATCCAGCTTGAGTAACTATTGGGTAGACTCACGATGCTTTAGGCAATTATTTAGAAGCCCCGCTGCGCCGTCGCTGCCAGAAAGTGGAGGTTTTGCATCTAACCCTGCAGCTTGAGGGTGAGGAAATAAAACTGCATCATGCCTATGACTTTTGAGGAAGCTGTGCTGTCTGAGAGAAGTCAATGGCTGATAAGACGCCTATTCAACCCTCTCTAATGCTATATCTTGAGAATGTATGCCTCTCAACTTTTGAATTGTTTGTCCTCGGATTCAAAGTTCGAGTTGCAAACTTTGAGCCAAGGCTGACGTATTTTGTCGGCCGCTTGGCGGACTACCTATGCTGTGTTTCACAGGGATCATCACTGGGTCATTCTTGGGTCATTTCTTGGATTTTTCTTTCGCTTTGGTCACGTTCGCCCTTTCATTCTCGGCTATGCAAACCGCAAGGGAGACCCACGTTTAGTTCGTGACATTTGATGGTTTCTGTTAGCAATTGGCTTTCATGATTGGTGCTTCGTCTCTCTTTTGATGCGGCTGCTGGATGGTTTGGTTCCCCGACGAGGCTACACTGAAGGGACTAGGTTAATCCCTTGACAGCAAGAAGTGAGGAACAATGGTCGAGGTTGAGATAGAGAGAAGTGGCGTGGCTAAGGTTTCGGAATCTTTTGGTTTGGATTCCTATTCGAACATGGCGTATGCAGGCCCTTCTTGTTGGTTGGTCTCTCAGGAGGTTACCATGCTGTATTGCGAACTGGTTGTAAGCCAAAGGCGTTACAGTGCTCACTTGAGTTTTAAGAATTGATCGAGCAACTCTCATTCCACGTGAATAGAATATCACAGGCCTAAGTAACTGCCCATCATCAACAAATCTCGTCATACTCTCCCATCATCGCACACGTATCGTTCACCCTCCATCAATGCATTTATCAAATGGTGTCTCTTAGTGCGGGGCTCCGTTTGGTGGGAATCTAAAAGGGTGTCATGTGATGCCTCGAAACTGGCCAAGATCATGACATCTTCGCAATGCATCCATGATGGGTGTTGTTGATATCAGGTCAGGTCAGTTGCGCCGACAGTGCGATTTCAATTCCATTTATGCGCTGATCATAACCCCAGATTCCCTAAACAGAGACCCCAGTGCACAAGACATTGACATCTGGATGGTTTGGTATTGGTTCAGACCACAGACTCGGTCTGCGGCTTACAATTTGCATTTTTATTATCCATTACACAACATGTTGGCTTTGGCCAGTAGATGAAGAGTCTGGTGTCGCCTTGCCACGTCCGGTCTTTTCAGTCGCTGACCCCAGAGCACAGAGCTTCCTCATTCCATCATTCATCATCATCATCATGGCCAGCTCATCAATCTCCGATGACACAATGAAACCTCCGAGACACGTTTTCTCAGCAACTCTGTTGAATGGCTCCAGCCCTGCCGTCCGTACCCCCTTTTGGCATATTATGAGTTTTCTTTTTTGGTTTGAGCTTGATCCTAATCCCCTGAAATGGCATCCAGGAAACGTGAAAAGATTACTCCGTGCCGTGGATCGCTTCATTTTCGAGCCCTTACCGAATGCCCATTGCAGAGTAGGGTAGATTGCGCGAGACGCTATTTCTTTCTTTCTTCTATTGTTGCAATTGTGCGCTTAGCTTATATCCTTGGGGTGTGTTGTTAGACATTAGATCTTTGTCGAGATATCCCCGCTAATAACATGCATCAACTGCAAGAAGGAAGACAAAAGAGCCGAGTTCACATATGACTGCGGCCGCCAACGGTGCAAACACTTGCATGAAGCCATGGATGTTCTGCAACGTTTAATCGGTGGAATTTGTTTCGAGCCCTTGATCCGAGAGAGGCGTGCACTGAAACATCCATGGTTAGACCTTACCCTATATCGCTCCGGGTAAAAGAGACTTCTGCTATCAAACCTCCCCGGTGCCCCGAACAAATTTACAGTTTCTCAGAACGCATGAATAATGAAAGGCTCTGCTCAATAGATACATAAGACGCTGTTACTGGTCGTATCATCTCGTTGAGCTACTGTAGCTTACACGATGGCGGCATGTCCCATCCCGCCAAAGTGGCTCTTGGGTCTCTTACACCAACACCAACATCAATTATCAAGACACATGAATCCATGGAACAAGCCCTGCCCTGACCATCCTTACCTCGATTGTCCAACCAACAAAGTCGCTGATCTACCCCATCTTTTAGCCAGACTCTTTTTTATCTCGCCAAAGTCAATGCCACAGAGATGTGCATGTCACTCTCCGGCCAATAGTTGCCCGCCTCTCAACAACGTGCCTCGACTTCACGTTCCATGACGTTCGAAACACTCGACCTTCAACACAACCCGGCCTCATTGTCACCCCCGGCTTCAAATCTTGAGTGACATGGACTATCTCGAGTGAGACATGTCCTACGGCGTTGGCTCAGCGCCAATTCAGGGGAAGGGGAAGCGAGAAGCACCGTGGAAGGAGAACCGGCCGATCCTTTGGATATGTCGTGTGCTTCTCTGTCACTCCCATCAAAGACAGTGTCTAAAGGATGTTTATCAATACAGGCCCTTCTTTAGCCGCCTCAACCGGGTTAAAGACCCGGTCGAGTGTTATCTGCTTCGTAGTAGGGCTTTAACTCGGCCTTGCTCTGCATCAAGATTCCCCGCCTCATGGTATTCTTCCAAGACAAATCTTGGATTCGCGCTCTGAGAGATCTGCCAGTATATGGATACAAATCCACAAACCCACAGAGTCCATGGTCATCTGACTCTTGCAAATGGGTCTTCTTCCAAGCGCAACGTGCAAGAGACAAGAGACGACAGCCCTAGCAAGGCAAGACCGGAATTACATCAAGATATTGCGTGGATCTATACCTCAGATCCGACTAATAAGATTTCTCCTCCAGAGCATGCATATTACCGTTCCCGGGACCGGGCTGGGCGGAAAACTGCTCCACCCCCGATCCCGCTGTGTCACTGAGATATCCAGACAGCCCTGGCATCGAATCCTCAATTTCTCAACACGGACGACGAAGTACCTCCCCCCTGAGAGATCATCTCCAGGAAACGATTCCGGCATCTTGACTCACGTTCCGTCGCTGCTTCTAGTCTACACCGAAACTTCCAGCCAAAGCTTTCACCACACTGAATCGTCGATCTAGCTCAACCCATCCACAAACAGCTGCCCTCGCAACCATGTGCCGCCAGGGGGCGTGTAATCAGGGCGAGGATGTACTTGTTTGTACCACTTGGCATAATCGTTACATGCTGCTATTAAAAACACCAAAACGTAAGTTAAGTTAAGTTCAATTAGAGATTTGTGAGGCGCACCTGGTCCCTGGCGAATCAGCTCCGTAACCGCGGGCTCATGGGCGATGAAAGGGGGACAGCATTACATGCCTTGCATCATGCACGTTTCTCTTTGAATAGACGAAGGAAAAGAGTTTTTATGCGTCTTCATCATGATTTGCATTTGTAAGAAGCGGTGTCAGAATCGAATGCTACGAGGTATAGCTTGAGGAAGCTTGTCCCCTCGTTTCCAGGGCCCCGGAATGTTGGGCTTGCACGTGGTTGGAACAATAGGGACTGACTTTCCTGAGTGTACAATACGTAGTCAATGCTTTGTAGCTCTGAGCTGGTCCTATTCCATATCGACGCGTGCCGTGAATCCAATTTCGAGTCTGATAGTGTTGCCTCTGCAACAGAGCTTGCGTGTCTCGTCTTTACTACACCCCCTCAGGGAGCAAGAAAATATCAGACGTTGATATATGGTGTTAAAGCAAACTCTGCAAAAGGGTTCCTAAACTTATCCTAAACTTATGCTAAGTTACCTAAGTCTTTTTATCACTTAGGATGGTCTGAGTGTGTATGACATGATTTGAATTCATGTTGAATCTACTTGAGGTATCTACCCGTTATACGCCTGAGTGGTATGTGAAACTCCATATATGACTCCCGTAGTCTGACTGTTGTGTCTTTCATTCCCTGTTCATCCTTAAACTCCTGATACGCTCGAGGTCCACGACGCTCGGCATGAATGCTGATGCATGAAAAACAAAATCCTTTTTTCTCTCTCAAGTAGTGTATTTATCCATAGGGGCAAAGCCCGCAATGAAATCTTCGAATTGTTGTAAACGTTCTTGGTGATCCTTCACCATGGACTTTGCTGGACCTGAGTCTTCTGAGGGGATGACTCTGTTCCACTAAGGTTCCATTCGAAAACGTGGTCCATCTCGCGGAACACATCTTCCGCCATTTCCATAGGGTCTTGCGATTCATCCGATTCGCGATCGCTCTTAGTCGGATCCGAAGGAGGAGCCGATCGACGCAGCTGGTCTGCCGAAAGGAAAGCCTCTGCCATAGCATCTGGCATTGGACTGCCAACTGTACGCTGTGATTCTGATGGGAGCAAACGCTGTTTGTGACGGATGATAGGTCCCCGCACCACGGCATCAAAGTGCTTATGGAATTTGTCACCTCCAGATGTAGGAAGTTCAGACATAGGAGTATCAGGTGGCGGTGAGCCTTGACGTCCCTTAGATGTAGATGGGCAGGGTGTTGTTGGGTTACTCGAATATCCCTCGGTTTCATGGGGTAGCGGTGCGAAGGAGACTCGGCGTTCAGAGCTCCTGACAACCCAAGGGTTCTTTGTTGCGGAAGCCAGAATACCTTGCGTGCTTGGCATACGACTTCCCGATCCCCTCCAAACAGCGCGCTTGCTTCGACGAGAACTATGCCCTGGAGAAGTTGATCTGAAGGATGCAAATGACTTGACCGAGAACTGGGGCTCGGGTGTTGACTCTATGACTGTCGTGGCTGCCGCGGAGGCATCCTGCAGTGGCGTATCAACTTGAGATGCAACGGCAGGCGTGTTTGGCTCTTCGACTGTCGTGCGATCTTCTATTTCGACAACAGGTGTCAGGGGCAGGGGCATCGTCGGTGGTTCAGCCATCTCGTTTGTCCAAGGGGTTTGTCCCACAGGGCTGGATTCAGCCACGATAGTGCCCGTTTCCTTTGACTCTAGCGTAGGGCTGTCTGTAGATATCTTGCCCAAGCTCAGTGTAGCGTACTGAGAAAGCTTGCTATCAACCCATGGAGTCTGCTGTGAGAAGGGAATACGCGTGTCCTTTGGTGAGTTGGGCTGGCGCTGTTCTTGCTCCAGCTGTAACTCCTTGGCTGGGCTATCGACAACAGTTGGTCTCACGTTCTGTAACGGAGGCTGAGGAAGACTCAAAGCTCGACGGATAGTCGTCTTCATGGGAGTAGATTGAACCGATGTTGTTTCCCGTCGATCACTGGGAGGGTTAAATGCCAGTTTTGATGGGCAAGATGCTCTTCTTTGGGGTATGCTTTGATAAGCAGGGCTTCCAGTCAATTTTGCCAACTTGTCCCATGAGCTTTGAGGAATGAATCTCTTCTTGATTGAAGTTCTGAGAAGATACTCAGCATGAGAAGGTGTTGTGGGCGTCGTATCAGCCTCGCGACGACGTCCTGCCAAGGTTTGTGGCGTCCTATTATTGAGTGTTGTTGGGGATACGACTTCAGTGGCTTTCGCTTTGCTAACCTCTTCCTCTTCCTCTTCGTCGCTAGATTCATCCACGGAGGCTGTGCCACTGCCTCCGTGGTTTTCAGTTACAGCTAGGCTGCTGGTGACATCGGCTGTCGCAGTCACACCCATGTCCTCATCTTCTGACCCTGTGGCTGATTGACATTCGCTGACCGAATCAGATGGCGTGGTGTCAATCATCGAAGAAGGTCGGCAGTCAGAAATCTCGAATCCACGAAACTCCTTGCTTGAGATAGATGACAGAGGACTTGTCACAGCGATTTGGTCAATTTCCATTGCTGATTCAGACTCTCGTAGGCTGCGCCCCTCCTCTACTGGTGTGCTGGCCATATCATCGTTGGGCGACGACAGGCCAGACCAAGTGTCCTCGTCTCTGGATATGGACACATCTTGGTCTGATGCAGTCTCAACAGCTTGATTGAGCGTTGGCCGCATTTTAAAACAGAAACTGTCATCTTCTTGGGTCTCAAAAGCGGAGCGAGGATTCCTGACAACTTCATCTTGGGCTCTCAAATCAGTTGTTGCGGGTACAGAACCTCGTTGACGAACTGAAACTTGGTCAATACCGTCTTGTAACGATATATTCCCATGTGCGTCCAGGACGGGAGTGCACTGTAGACTTGATAAGGATGATGACGAACGCGCAGAGGGTCGACCCAGCTTAACCTTATCGCGGGATAGTTCGTCCTCTGAAGTGGGTTGCTCATGTTGCTGCGTTGAGAAGAATCTCTTTGTTGCAATGGCGGAAGATGGCAAGCGATCGGGGACACTTGAAAAGGATGTGTTGAACGCCTTCGTAGCTGAGAGTGAAGGTTGATTTCGGGATGGGACCGGAGTATCAATGGAGCCCGTTTCTATGATATCTGTTCGTTGTCGTTTATTCGCCAAATGCTTCAACCATGAAGATCCCTTAGCCTTTCGTTTTCTCTCAGAAAGTGACCCTTGTGGTGTTGATGCCCAAAACTTGTCCTTCGGTTTCTTTTCAGCGTCCACGGCATCTCTCCATTCCCGGACCTTGGCGAGCTCGTCCTCTTCCAAATAAGGGTGTGTTTCGGTCTCGGAAGTTTGGTTAAGGCTTTCGGGGCTCGGGAGGTGACATTCCAGACTATCACTAGCCGGCTGAACCGTCTCTGGTATAGATACGTTGCGTCTAACGTTGGCGGACCTTTTCAATTTCCCAGGCGACGTCCTTATTATTCTTGCACTTCCGGCCGTTCGGTGCTTTGAACGCCAAGGGTTGACCCAGTTCGAGGACTTCGCATCAAAAGGGCCTCTGAGCAATGCTGTCAAGAGGACTGGTGTTTTGCCGTCGAGAAATCGTTGACCTGCTGCTTCGATACGTAGTTTTCGTGACATAGGGTTATCGTAGTTTTCGTCGTCTGAACCCTCATACAAGACATCTTCAGGGTCGCAAGTCGCTTCGCAGTAAATCGTGTCTTCACCCCATCCCAGAGCGAGCTCGTCCGCTAGAGGATCAGCGGTTTGGGCGGCCATGTTGATAGTATTGGAGGCTTGCGCCCTTGAGGTGGAAAATCGTTGTCTTTAAAAGCATATATAACGTTTACCGACTGTTTGGGTGATTAGTCGTTCTATTGATTCACGATCCCTGTTTAAAGAAATGGAACGGTCTATCACCAGGGGAGACGCGCCCCGCGTCGAGTCACGTGGTGTCGCGTAAAGTGCTTTATTGTACGTCATGACCGTGACACAGAGCGAGGAAAGTCCATTCACAGCGCATATTCTTCTTATTGATGAGTGAAATCAAATAGGGAACAATCGAGAATATGTTTGCATTCAGCTTTTAGTTCCTAATTGAAATCTGAAGGCCATCTTGATGAGGGTGACAAAAGGCTTCCTGAAGACCTGTGATTGCGCCAAACCAGGCTTTTCGTTCCGCGATATTGCCCCGTTTATACTATGTACATTTACAACTTCTTTTAGGGAGCAAGAAAGTATGAGACTTTAGAAGAGGATGCTAAAATAAACCCAGCAAAGACTTCCCTAAACTTAGACTGAATGGTCTAAGCATTTTTTCCCCATCACTTTAGGATACAGGTCTTGTATGTAAGTTTTCTTGCCTCCCCTCCAGCCATATCCAAGATCATTCAGGCTGGTCCCTAGCGCATCCATCCTGGCAGGGTTCCGTCCCACCGTTGACAGAGCAACGGCTCTAACCGTATCAAGGACCCTGGTCTTGTTTATCTCGATTCTCCAAAGTCCAAAGCTCAAGGATACGCGCAAACAACGTCGTCTCTCGATCTGTATTTCGCATGTGCTTGTTTGTTCAAATATTTTGTCAAGACCCCATGTCTTAGTTCAACAGCCCTACTTCTCGCCTGTGATTTAATACATCTTCACCTCAGCATTCTCATTCCTCTCCTCTCCGACTCTGTCTTGGAGTTCCTCATACAGTCCATTGCAATAAACACATCACCTCGCGACCCCACCTACCGCCGCCTATGATTTTTGTTTAGTTCATGGCTTCGCATTGACATTTTTACACCTTGATTTGCGCTTCCAGGGTGACACCATGGAGCACGCTTGGCTGGACTCATTGTCCGAAGATTGGGTTTCTCAGCCCAGATCTGATTCCTCCGCCATTCAACTTCCCCCTCTGAAAGATACCGAAGAACCCAAGACAAAACCACGAGAGACGCCGAGTAGGATACCGCGTAGAACGTTGGGCTCACGACCCCAATTATCGTCGGCTGCTCGCGATTCGAGCTTCAACATACTCAGCGAGCGCACCGCGAATGATATCAACATTTCGAGCCAGCGCATCGTTAGACCATCATCACAAGGCTCCAAATTCCCACCCGGAAGGTTTGCCAGTAGATCTGTCTCTGCCTCCACGACTGCTTCTGTTGTCCATAACACTATTCAGCACAAATCGTCACCTGGAAGGCAACAGGATACACCAGAGTGGAAGAGACGACTGGTGTACGGCGAGGTTCAGTATGGCGAACAGCGCGACCTGTTTTGCTCAGCTGCAACCGGATTACAAGACATGTTCAGACCGCCCGACGCTTCAGGCGACGATGCAGATGAAGAGGGACGCCTGGAATCATCTATGATGCCGTCTAGTCCACCGTCATATCCCCAGCGCGTTGCCAGCAACGACCTCGAACCCGATCTGAGTCAACTCGACGAACTTGATGAACTTGAGGACCAAGACCCATTGTATCCAAACGATGTTACACCGAGCCCTAGCCCCCGACGGGCACAAAGAGAGATCAAATACAAGCTTAATGTGGAAGATTCTATGGTGTCCAGTATACCTAGCCCCCGAGATGAAACCCCCTCAAGAAACCGAGAGGAGTCTTATCGCGATGAAAGCTGTTTAAGCGCTCCTTCGGAGACGAACGGCAGCGTTCGAAAGATTAGCGGCCAGAGCGTGATTCGCAATGAAGATTTCAGTCCCATTCTTATCGGCAAGCAGAGCGACAAGGACGGCAAGATGGACTTTGCGCCCATTGAGCTGCCAGCAGACAGATTGAAGCAGAAACTCGAAGCCTTGCGCATTAATCAGATGCTTCTCGATCCTGCAGTTGATCCTAAGACGGGATTTGATGAGCCCAATCCGGAAGCTTCTGCTACTCCCGAGGACACTGAAGAATATGCAACAAAAGGCGGGTTCTTGAACCTCCAACGAGGGGGTCGATCAGGAGATGGTTCATTTCGCTATCGTGATCTCAGCCCTGGCTTGGGTGTCGACACAAGTGGAATGCTTCCAGAGGAGTCCCTGCAGGCCAGCACTCCCAAACAGTTTCCTTCCGTACGAACGGAAGTTACCAACCCATATCAAAACGACTACTTTAACATCAGCCCGTCCTTGCCGCGAGCTCCTTTCCCCAGTCCAGACAAGAAGCAGATTAATCAGGGCAGGAGTGCGCCATCCGCTGGAAGTCCTCTCAAGCTTTTTGGCCCTTATGATACATTTACCAACCAAACACTGCTCCGGCGTATCAGTCAATTCGAGGAAGGCATGTCGGGTACCCCTTCCCGGCAATCCTCGGCATCTCAAGTTCCTCATGATCAGTCTGATATGCCCGCTCACGAATACGGAGACCCCATGTCTAGCCCTGCTTTGCCGACAACGAGTCACAGGCCTATTAGTGGAAGATCTTTCAGCCGGTTCGGCCTTGGAGATCTTGAAGGATACGAATTTAGTGAGGAAGTTTCTTATGTCTCTCAAGGAGATGCAGCCTACTCCGACAAGGAAAATGATGCCCCTCAATCACCAGATGTCCCACCAGTTGAATCAGTTCTTCAACATCCGGAGCAGGTCGCGTCTCCCAGTCATGACGCCCAGTTACTCGTACGCAGGCGCCGGGGCAAGTCCACATCGTCATCTGGTAGCAAGCACCACAGGACACTCTCGGGTTCCAGTCACATCCACAGCAAATCTCTGAGTCCAGCAAAGGGTGCTCCAGGCAATGTCAATACCCCCAAACGCGATAGCGGATCAGAGGGTAAGAGACCTCGAACGTCTCCGTCCAAGGATCCAACGCCAAAGCGTCGCCGCACGCTGCATCGTTCCGACATTGCCTTTGGCCGAGAGGATCGGTTAGAAGGAGTAGAGTCCGCCAGCCGTGACATGCAGTCGATTATGGGAAGAAAACGCAAGGATGCACGACCTAGTGAGTTTCAACTTGCGAACCCCAACGTGCTTGCAATGAGAAACATTCTCCGCCCACGCAGCCCTACGCCAAGCCGTGGCTCGTCACAGCGTAGTGAGCCGAACGAGACCATGCACTCGGAGGACGATATAACCCTCGAAAAGCCGAAGAAGACTCTTGTCCAGGCATTGCAGGAGGAGACTCTGGGTTATTCTACGGATGGCCATAGTGAGGTCGACCGTAAGCCGTCTATTAGGACTCAGGACTTTGTCGACCAGGCTGCGCAGATCATGGCCATGATCCGAAATCAAGTGAGACCACCAGGTCTCTCAAGTGTGGAAGAATCGGAGGCTGAGCATGGCACACCCGAAGGGGATGACCTCGATGACTCTTATCAGGAGTCAACGAATGAGCCCCTGTCTCGTCCTCCAAGCCGCGAAGGAAACCCTATGCCCAGGCCACCCAAGCATCAGGAGGATCCAGAGCTGATCAAGCGGTTGAAGAAGTACCAGGAGTTTAGCGACATGGGAGACATCATTACTTTGTCTATGCGATCCATGGGCCTAGTCAAGGAAGCAATTCTTGCGGATCAAGAAGTTGAACGGGAAATTGAGAAGGCCCCTCGTCAGAGATCAGAGCTCTCATATAACACTGAAGACGAAGTCATTAGCGATCCACCCAACATTCGATTGTCAGCTGGCCCTGCTCATGATGCGCTGCCATCGAGCCCCTCACGCGACTATCACTCGCAATCATCGGGGGTTTCGACAAACAGATCCTATCCTACAACGTCCTCGCATGGCTCTGAGACTCGAAGAACTATCATGCCCGAAAGTGTGTCACATCTTATCCCAGATCGAGTGGGTAGCATGTATCTCGATAAGCAAAACAATATCTGGATCAAGAAGAAGGAGACACCTACGCGACGGCCCATGAATATTCTTCCATCAGACAGTGAGGATGATCCTTTCGCCAGCATCCCAGATTTGTCTGTGGATTTGACGAGAGAAATGCAGAACCTCCATCTCACCACCGGCAAGAAGAGCAACGCCGCCGGTAGTCCAAGCCAGGCGAGGTCGCCTACCAGCCCATCCAAGTTTGCAAAGTTTCAATCTGCTAGAGGCTTTACGACACTGTCACCTGACGGGCAACTGAGTCCGGAGATGAACAGCCTTGTCGGAGAAGAGTTCGATAAGTTAGATGCCCGGGTAATGGAAGATTCGGAGCTCTATCTTGAAGAATCTCGCCAAGATGAGAGCAGCTTCCACGACGACAAGGCTGACAGTACTCCCTCGACGACCACCAAGAAACGTAACCTCACGATCACGTTCTCTTCACCTGTTGCATCCATCATACAAGATGTGGTGGTAGCAGAGGATTTGGACAACCTTGAAGATGACCCTGAGCTTCCCAATGGCCATTTCAACAGTTTATCACCTAGGAAGTCGCCAGGCCATGCCAGTATTGGAAAATCAGCATTGAAGAACGGCGGTAATGGACAGGGCTGGAGCAACCGTATCCCCTCACGAAATGGCCCAGCATTTGTTCCTCGACCTGTTTCGCGGATTGACGAGCAAGACGAGGATAGCACAATCGAGCTTCCTATTGATGACCAACGCCAAGTCAGCATTATTGGGGACACAAGTGTCGTCAGTCACAAAACACCCGATGGCCGCCGCACCAGTCTCAGCTTCGTTGTCAACCCAACACCAAACAACAACTTCTACCCAACTCCCACAGACGACAGTGTCATGATTGGCCAGAATGTCGGAAAGCTTTCCCTTAGCCCATTGTCTGAGTTTACTATCAATAATACGGATCAGTCGTTCGGCTTCGAGGTCAGCTATGTCATGGGTCGACGGCATGCAGCCACTG